GTATAATTGAGATACTTATATAATTGAATAGCTACGATAAACACGAGCTTAAACTGTGATAATGACATAACAATTGGAGGTTTCTAGACTGCAAAAAGGTAGAAACAAAATCTGTTTCACAATTCCACTTAAGCTCGGTCGGCCATTTTAAATCGTTATGCGGGCCGGATTTGGCCCGCGGGCTGCGGTTTGGGAACCCAGGCCAGGGTTCTAAAATTTCGAATTGCCAAGTTAGACCGTAACTGATAGCGTGTCGGCGTCGTCGGAAAACGTGAGTCTTGAGGGAGAATTCCGAGATACGACAAATTTCTATGTATGATACATGAATATGCTCTTTTTACATTCCAAAAAGGGGGGAGGAGTGTCCAACCCTCAGCTACGCCCCCACCCTCCTGGCTACGTCACTGAAAATAATATATAATCCTGACGTATTATTGGCGGCTTGTACAGAACCTTCTTCAAATTGAAGGCGTCAAACGCCCTATAAGAATGAGGTATTTTTAATTGAGATTCCCGGATCTGTCTTCGATCAAACAAAGCATCCCAGTAGGTAATTCGATTTGTTACGGCGATGTAAAGTTTGTTTCGGGGCATGCAAAGGTAGATTCTCCTTCCGCGGCGACCTTTAAATACTAATAAGGTTTAAAAATAGATGCAAAAGTATTCGATAGTTATACTTAAAAGTGTTTTGAAACACTCGCACTAACTCATAGAAAATAAAGACTCATTTTTGAGCTAAATTAGGCGCACTCACTCAGAAGTAAAAAAACACGCTCACCTCTGTGCAAAGTTACGGGCACCCATGCAGAAGTAATGAAGACTCATCTCTGAGCAAAGTTAGGCGCACTCACTCAGAAGTAATGAAGACTCATCTCTGAGCAAAGTTAGGCGCACTCACTCAGAAGTAAAGGAGACTCATTTCTGAGCAAAGTTAGGCGCACTCACTAAGAGGTAAAGGAGACTCATCTCTAAGCAAAGTTACGGGCACTCACTCAGAACTAAAGAAGACTCATTTTTGAGCAAAGTTGGGCGCACTCACTCAGAAGTAATGAAGACTCATCTCTGAGCAAAGTTATGGGCATTCACTTAGAATTGAAGGAGAATCATCTCTGAGCAAGGTGGCCGGCACTCACTCAAAAGTAAAGGAGACTCACCTCTGAGAAAAGTGACAAGAGCCACTGAGACTATGAATGTAGTGTACAACTGCGCGTCAGTAAACACTCATTGACGTAAACAGATTTGAAGGTTTGTGGTGAAATATCTAGTTCCGAACGAATCATCGAAAATTTTTAAATAAAAAATTGATTTTATGATATTTAACGATGTGTTTTGTTGGCGGTAGCTCTTTTATTTCCACAATGTATTTTTCGAACCCCTGTAGCAATGCTTTGTTTGTGAACCCAACATATGGGTTTATTCACCCACGGCATATGCTCAGGTCACATTTTATCGCATTCTTGGGAGCTTATAAAAAGAATAGGTAAAATTAACTTGGAATTCATTATCTTTTGAGTACTGTTAAAAATAATATGTAATTGTTTTTAAAATACAAAGTTAATGGTTATATTTGAGCTTCATTTGAGTGTTTTATTATTTCTTGTGCAAGTTTGCTCAGAGGAATATTAAAAAAGTTGCAAGTTTGCTCAAAGCAAGGTACCGAGTACTCATGAAAAAGTTTGCTTAAGCGAGGCCCTTCGCTTATGAGAGTACTGATAAAAGAGTTGCATGTTTGCTCAAAGCAAGATACCGAGCCCTCAACTAAAATTAAAAAGAGTACTGAATATCTGATAGCTTATTTTACAGAATTTTCAGCAGTGTGTTAGTCATGATTAAACAGAAGTAAAAATAGATTTTATTGTTTTGTCACAAAAATATTGTTTTGTCATAGTTAATAAGTAACCTAATTATTTATCTATTGTTGTAAACACAAACTAAATCGCAAAATAACATGCCATGCGTAAATATTTAATGTTCCCTTTTCAACTTTTAAATACTTGAACGCTCAATCATCATTGCAAAAATTCCATTGAGCAAATATTTATAAAAATAACACAATATAATATGTGAACATTGAATATTCCGCGTGTATTCTTTCATGATTACAATCAGCATTTATTTATCCTTAGACGATGGGTATAAGACATTATGTCTCCGACCTGGACGCGGTACAAGAAACGCTATTCTGTAACGGTCGTAAATTCTTGTCAAATGTTTTACTAATTTTTAGGTTTTTATTGGTAATTCACTTTAAATACCAGCGACTTGGATTAGTGATGTCAAATTCGCAGACTTTCGGCAACTTTTCGCATGTTGGGAATTGTGCCCATATTGTTGCGTGCAATTTTAGATCTATTTTTTAAATTACACTTTTTGTGGGTGTGGACACTCTAGTGCCTGTGCTCCAGAAGTATGTTTACCAATATGGAGGTAACTAATTTTGTTCGCCTACTTTACATCAAGTTGTGAAAAGGGACCTGAACCTATGGGCAGCGGGTATATTCACTTGGCTAACACAGACAGTCCACGAACTTGTAATAGAACTAAAATAGAGAAAATCGGGGGCTCCCGAAGTATGCGAACCAAGATGGCGGACATCGGAACGTAATATGTGTACTAGGTTAGGGTTAGGCCATAATTTTAGGTATAAATACTACGGGAGGCTCTTGGATAGTCTTCGAACTGATAATACGACTAAAATAAGGAAAATTGGAAAAAAATTATCGCCTAACCTTAACCTGTTACCCATGTTACGTTCCGATGTCCGCCATCTTGGTTCGCATACTTCGGGAGCCCCGAAAATCGGAATAAACTTTTGACCTAATCCTAACCAGGTACACATACTACCGGAGTTTGCAAGTTTGAAATCACTGACTTGGGTAACTATATAGAAAGTGCCACGATATCCCTTGTGGAGTCCTAGGAATTCTCATTAATTGTTACAAGTTTCTGGTTTTTAGTCAGTGTTGTGATTTTAACAGTTATCTAAATTCGTAAAAACTTAGATAGTTATAGAGCAGACATGGGGAATGTACGGCCCGCGGGCCAAATCCAGTACGTTGGGTAATTCAATCTGGCCCGCCTGATGCTGCCACAACCAAACTGAAATCTAATTTTAATGTTTCAGCTAAAAATAGCTCAAGAAAATTGTTGAGATTGCGGTTAAATTTAGTTTTGGCACGGAGCATATTGTTTTCCACTTTTGTAACACTGTAAATATTGTTCATAAAATGTAACTTTTTGCTTCATACGTACATGGCCCGCCAGTGTAGATGGGTAAATTGTTTTGCTCCTGGTTTGAAAACCTTGCGTACCCCTGTTATAAAGTATAGACCACTATCGCGGGGTTATATGCGACACAAAATGCGAGAGGCTCAAGTCTGGATAATAAACGTAATTGGAGCCTTTTATTAAATATAGGCACAAAAACTGAGTTAAGAGCGAAAACTAGATATTTTATAGGAGAGCTACAGGTGCTGAGTGTCTTTGAAATGGGGCCATGGACCATTTTAGAACTCCTGGGGGTAGATAATAGTTCCTTTCATCTATCTAACTAGACTGGGATTCGAACCCAGAATCTTACAATTCTCAATCTAAAATCTATTTCAACTATCAGGTTTTTTAATTTACTCTAAAATAAAAATGGTTGGAAAAATAGAATCTGAAGATAAAGCGAACAACAACGCTAACAAAAGGGATTTATCACGTCATAATTCGCAATGTGATGAAATAATACAAACCGACGATACGACTAAATCCTCCAATACAGACGATTTTCACAAAATTCTGGCAGCTCGGGGGAATTCGGTCGAATCCGAAAAGTTTTTGATTCGAGAGAATTCGGACGATTCGATCCCGAAACGAGAAACATGGACTCGAAAATTCGATTTTCTTCTGGCGACAATCGGGTTTGCTGTCGATCTCGGGAACGTCTGGAGGTTTCCCTACATTTGTTACAAGAACGGGGGAGGTATGAGAGCAGTTCCCAACATCTGAATGAAATTAACCAACACAAATCAAAGTGTGTTCTTGCCTATGCTGTACTCGAGACGATGTGATAAAAACTCATCCAATTTAGTTTAGTTCAGGGTATTGTTTATCCGACCAATGCGGGGAGTCTGGGATTTCTAATTGCCAAGTCAGACCGTAACAGCCAGCGGGTCCAGATGCCGGAAAACGTGTTTTTCAAGAGTCTTGAGGACAGTAGCGTAGCGAGACTCTCGTGGGCCCCCCTGCAAAAATATTTCGTGGAAATGACCCTAAATATGCTAAAACAACTCTTTTTTATTTCGTCAAAAAGCATAACATGTCGCTATTAAAAAGCAATGGTAACCTAAAATTTGCCGTTATCTTGGTTACTCTAATTTTTTTCATACGTGCTTCCTCTTCTGCCCTTTTTCTGCGTTTCTGTGTGCCGCTGAGAGGTTTTGCTTTCGACATCATTCTTGACAGCCTTCGTAATTTTGCCGGTGCGATCAAACCACAAGACGCCGAAAATCGACGACTCCTTGGCATTGTTACGTAACAAAACGATTTGAGCAGAACTAACATCAACGTTACAAGAAGTGCATTATTGGTTTTGCAATGCAGCTTTTGGTTTTCGGCTTACATTTCTGAATTTCAACCGTTTGGGCCCCTTTGCGCTGTGGGCCCGCCCGCGACCGCGGGGGTTGCGGGGGTGGATGCTACGCGACTGCTTGAGGGTCTAAAAGTGTTTAGACCACGAATTTTTTTTTTTACATTTTAAAAGAGGTCCCGACCCTCACAACCCCTCTCTTGTTTACGCCCCTGCCCTAAACCCCCGGTCGCGAGTCGTCCGAGACTCGATTTGATTACTGAATTGACTCTCGGTGGCTTTGATAAATTATGACTCGGGTCAGATTTAGTAGAGTCAAATAAATTAACACTAAGTTAACAACACCCTTTTGTAGGGGCTCGCACCGAGTCGATGATTCGATCCTCTTAATTAACAGTAAATTAATTGCAACATCTCTTATTTGTAGGGGCGTTCCTGATCCCTTATCTACTGATGATCATGTTAGGCGGTGTTCCTCTCTTCTATCTGGAATTAGCTCTCGGTCAATATCATAGGAATGGATGCATCTCGATATGGAGGAGGATTTGCCCGATATTGAAAGGTATGGATTTGTATTCGTTGTTTTTATATGATCGCTCTGAACAAGACGCTGGACAAGCAGTCACTAAATTTGGAGGAATGCAGAAACACGCCCCCCTTAATAATGAAAAAAAGGCGTATGAAATTAGGCATTTTTTCCAGATCATTCTATTTGAAATTTTTGCTACATTGCAATCGTCAAAATTTGAATCGACTGGAAAAATGTAAATATTGAAGGAAAACCCGTAATTTTGATCGTTCGGATTAGCAAAAAAACTTTCTAAAAAATGAGATCAATTTGAATTTTGTTCAAGTGAATTGTTTAGATTTTTCGTTTCTTATCGAAAAAGGAAAGACATAGATTAAATTCCGGTCGGTTAGTTTGTTAGAAATAGCGTTCTTCAAACGGCGTACAGGGCATATTCATTGTTCATTGAAAACAGAAAAACGTTATTTTTGAACATTTATATTCTCTTGAGAATGAAATGATATAATCTTCGATATTTTTAATTCCATTGGCGATGATTTCTCATAGCCATTATCTATCCATTTTGATCATTCATTTGATAAACATTAATATAGTGGAAATTTTTACAGAATTTCTGTAACTTGGATTATCAAACTCTCAGAAAAATCATCTTTATATCTAGTAATTACAGTAATTTGAATTTCCTTTTTTTCTGAAAAAAAAATTTAAAAAATTTTTTGATCAATTTTATAAATCACCGATTTTTTGGAATATTTGGAAACTCTACTTGTTACCGAAACCACATCGCAATATGTTCCTACCCGGACAAAATTTAAAAAGTGAGTCAAAACCCAACACTCGCGATTCGGCGTTTGATTACAAAGCACTCGTGCCATCAGAGTAAACAATACATAAAAGCGTCGCAAATGAAACAAATTTACGTTAGGTATTTCCCAAGTTTGGCCCGTGGATATTTGCTATTTTTCATTGTATATTATCTATTCGCCATACATGGTAATTTAATATTCAAATTCCAAATCGCTCGCGTGCGAAATGTCGTTTCGTTCGCGACCAAGATATTCGATTTCAGACCTACGCGAAATTATCCGTTTCTGTGGTCGTTTCGGTCACGTAAGTTTTCCCTTTCATGCAAAGTTCACATTCCTTTATACTGTCATAGTAGTATGATCTGTCAACAATAGGGGTCACTTTGTTTCGACACAATAAAATTTTCGAAAGTCGTTACGCATGATTTGACTAGGTAAATGTCAAGTTTCGAAGTCAATTTCTGGCAACTGGTAATCGGAAATGAGACGCGAAACCTCACATTTATATATTAGCCGTACTGAGTATTATATAGACTTATAGAGCACGAATCACGCCAAAAAAAAAATAACAGACCCTTAATTTAAGGTCTCGTGTTTGATTATAGTAATTCAAAATAAAATATACATTGAAGTTAAATTTCTTTTTCATTCCGATCGACAGTTATTCACGTCTTATGGTCTAAGCACGGCCCTACGCTGCACGGAACCACCGCGATTTTGGATAAATTCGAGTATTTCCCGCTCGGCATTGCATACCCAATTCATTATACCTCGGGTGAGGTGGTGGGTATATCCTTTTTCCGGAATGTATAATTTACGATGCCAACATAAAATTAAATAACACTAAAGATAGTTTGAAAATAAATCTTACATAAAAAAACTGAAGGAAATTCTGTCGCGTGGAAGAGTAATATGAGCCTAATTTAAAATCGGTGACTCGAAACAAAGATTTTTCCTTACGATTTTCACTCAATCAATTTGTACAATGTAAGCGGTACATAAAATTAAATGATTTTAAATTATATTGCAAAAAATGTTTGAACTTTTTTTTAGATTATGCTTAAAGTTGTCAGAGATATCCGCAACGGCAATGAATCATTGTTGGGGTATTGGCTGATTGAATCGTAATAATACTTGACTTGGCGGCACCTTCAGCAAGCATTATTACGTGACAATGAACAAAGGCATTATGATATCATAATCAAGAACAATTGCCTTGTAAATATTCAAACTAAGATTGATTGTTCAATCACAAAGTACTTCAAACATTCGTTTTTCGATTATTCATGAGAAATGACATAACCATAAACCAGCGGTTTTAGAAAATATGTATTCAGCTTGAATACTCAGACGTATTAAGTGTACCTAGGAGCGGATGGGGGGGCGGGCGGATTATGCGGGTCGGATCCTCCCCCTTTTAACATGTAAAACAAGCGTTTTTCTGTATCATATTTAGCAATACATAGCGACCGGGCTCGCTAGCTGTTACGGTCTAACTTAGAAATCCCCCTCATTTCACGCCACGTCCATGGACTTTTTTTACGCTTAGAGCTTTGAACAGTACATGCGTACACCACTAGGTAAGAAGTTACTTTAGTTTGGAAACACTGGAATCATTCCAGTTTGGGATTTTCTTCTCAATTTATTACGCCCTGGTGAGATGGAGGCTGAATGCGCTCTTTAAACATATTCGCTCTTAACTAGGCTTTAGAACAGCCAAGCAGTTACTGTGGCGCTCTAGAAGTATGTGTACCAACATTGAGGTAATTAATTTTGTTCGCCTACTTTACATCAAGTTGTGTAAAGGGACTGAAACCAATGAGCAGGGTGTATATTCACTTGGCTAACACAGACAGGCCCGAACTCGTGATAGAACTAAAATGAGAAAAATCGGAGTGAAATGATAGCCTAACCTACGGGAGTATCGTTACTGCACTGTACAAGTAGTGGTGATAATAAAATACTTACATCATTAGACATAATAAAAGTCATAAATTGTTTCTTCAGGTCTAGGATATGCGATTTGTTTGATGGCTTTGTACGTCTCAAGTTACTACAACACCGTCATAGCGTGGGCCGTGTTCTACTTGTATAGGTAAGTTTACTTTAGTCAATTATTACTAATCAATTACTAATCAAGTTTTTCTTGTTCTCCCTGGCTGATATGCTAATTTCTACTCGATTATCCATCAACACTTATATTTACTTGCAGTTCGTTTACGTCTGAGCTTCCTTGGAGCCATTGTGGCCATGAATGGAACGATAATACCACTTGTGTCGACAAAATAGACGCCGCAGCACACAACCAATCATGGAGCAACACGTCACAATCACCGTCACAACAATTTTTCGAGTACGTATACGACGTTTTACATTCCGAAGACTAGAAGGATTACAAATAGGTTCCTACACAAATAACAAAACTTTATTCAGATGTTCGACTTTGAGTCCCTACTTGGTGTTACGGAGCCCGAGAAGGGGATAGCTAATATTTACAGAGCCAACAATAAAATTATAAAAATATAAATAAAAAAAGAACACATTTATTCGGTATTCTAAGTAAAGTAAACGAATAGCGCTTGGAGCCCGTATGTTTCTCTCAGCCGATGCCTAGGTCTTCGTATGGGGCACTTTGAGAACATATGTTCTAAGTAATTTATCAATACACTTACGGTTACTTTTTTAATAGTAATAAAGAACATCCAACTCTGACTCTACAACTTTTCCTGTTTTATAATAAATTTGACTCTTTCCTGCGATTTAAAGTAATTTTGAAGATAACAGAGGGTGTCAAACTCTGACCCTATAACCTTTGCTAAATGTTTAGAATTTCCAACTTTCTTTTCCGTTTCCTACGCCAATAGTAAAAAACTCTGACCCTATTAGTTGTTTTCTTAAGAATTCCGACTCTGGTTCCGGTTTGATGATTTTTTATATACACTTCCGGCTCTTTCTCCAATCACGAGAGATAACGTAAAATTTGACCCACAACCTGTTTTCCTCTTTACAGGCGTCACGTCCTCGAGCTTCACAAATCCACCGGCCTTGACGATCTGGGGGCGCCCAAGATGGAGATTGTGTTTTGTCTTCTGATTGTTTACGTCATAGTCTATTTCAGCTTGTGGAAAGGAGTGAAATCTTCGGGAAAGGTTAGAAGCATTAGGCCATTGATTTATATGAAGTAGGTAAACTGGGGAAAGTCCCTCCCTCATCTCGGTCTGTCATCCTTCAATTTCAAAATGGGCCGAAACAAATGACTTCCTTTTACTAAAGATTTTGGTGAACATGTTTCTTAGAAAAATTTTGGATTCGCCAATGAAAATCATGACCTTACGTGAAGAACCACGAAAATGCAATTTTTTTTACAACAAAAACCCCAACGATATCAGCAACGACACATTTGTAAAATCTAACTCAACGCCCTGGACGATTTGGTTATTTTTTTTCTATATTAATCTCGGAGCAGAGGATTTCAGATAAGACAGATTAACTACCGATGCGATTTATAGTCTGGTACGCCTTGTTCCCGTAAAAGACGGCAACATGAAAATGACAATTGAAACATTATCAATTTATTTGTTGTTTCCCAGGTCGTCTGGTTCACGGCAACCTTCCCATATGTAGTGTTGCTAATCCTACTTGTACGAGGCGCAACCCTACCAGGGGCGAGCAAGGGAATCGAGTTTTATCTGAAACCAAACTGGGAGACACTGGCTGATCCTGTAGTTTGGCTGCAAGCTGCAACTCAAGTAAGAAATTTCTTCCATTTTCTATGGCCTGTCATGTAACTGCTTATATCTAACTTTGTAACAATTTATAGGTCAGTCCATATGGCTGTGACTTCCATTACTTATATTCGTTCCTAGAATGTCCGCTTTTGCGAACTAACTTTTTATTTTGGAATGAATATTGCATTTCAGTGACTTCCGCACCGAACTTATATATTATTCTATTCATAAATGAGATGAAAAATATATCTTAATATTCAATAATATATAAATATATAACTTCCACAGTTTTGCTCATCTAACTAACATCTCGTCATCCTTTTCGTCCAGGTTTTCTTCTCACTCGGGCCAGGATTCGGAACCCTGCTAGCCTTATCGAGTTACAACGACTTCCACAACAATTGTTATCGTGACGCTCTCATTACAAGCACAATTAACTGTCTTACAAGTTTCCTGGCTGGCTTCGTCGTTTTCTCCGTCCTTGGCTACATGGCTCACTTGCTCAATAAAGAGGACATAAGTGACGTAACAACTCCAGGTAACTAACTAATTATTGTGTAAGAAAGGGGTGTGGCAGGGGCGGGGCCTCGTGTCGATTGGCGTAAAAAGGAATAAACAAGGTAATAATTTATAATAAAGTGAATGTGTAATATTCGTGAATAAAGTTACGCTATTTTATGGTTTCTTCGTATTTTTGAGATAGGAACGAAAGTTACTTTATTTCGTACACTCCGCCCAATGGACCACACGGGAAAGAAAAACTGTAACCACCACAAACGCGAGCATACTTCAATTTATGGGTTATATATTACGTCTGTATTACTTTACACGACGTACTGCCTTCGGGTGTACATATGAAAAAATTGGAACGATACAGAGAAGATTAGCATGGCCCCTGCGCAAGGATGACACGCACAATCGTGAAGCGTTCCTCTATTTCGATTTTTTTTTCATATTTTTGAGTTGATTTTGTTACGGTTAAAGTTGAGTTGATCAAGTTAATTTATTTCTCACACTCTGCTATAATCGGAACACACACGAAGGATAATCACGAAAGTTACCAAAACTTGAATTTAGTTCTAAACATGCGACATATTTACATGAAAGTAATATCCTCTATTTATAAAAAAAAAAACATAAAAACACTACAACACTGATAATAACAGATATGCAAGAAAGCAAAAAAAGACGAAAACCCGAGTTTAGGTCCCGTGCCTTTGTTGCCTTATAAAATGTCCACCCACCTAGATTGAAAATATGAAAACTTAAAATTTATTGTTATTTATTGTTTTGTTTACCACTAGGTGTCGGACTACTATTTGTTGTTTTCTCCCAAGCTCTCACCCAATTCAGTGGATCCGTTTTCTTCTCAATCATGTTCTTTCTGATGATCATAACTCTGGGGCTAGACAGCACGGTAAGTTGTTTTAAAACAGTGGTTCCCAACCTCTTATGTCTCGTGGCCCCCTTTCCGGGGATTTTGGGCACTTATGGCCCCCTGTTCATCATTCCAGTGATATTCATTGCGCTATTTTAAATATCCTTTTGTTCAAACAATTCCTGCTCAACAAAGTGAAAACTTTGTGTGAAAAAACTTTATCAAGCAATTATACTGGGAAAACGGAGAGTTTTCTTTAGAGGAGAAAAGTGAAATTACTTTTGCGCCCAGCATTGTGCCCACCACCAGGTGCTATGTGGTCTTTTCGGTGCGCTCTCGGTTGGGTACCGCTCTTATGAAGTGTTTAATTTTGGGTAGATCAATTACCTAATATCAACAACAACGAAAACAGACGTGCTGCACACAAAAACGCAACCCGACTCTACTCCGATCCAAGGCAAAACTGCCACAAGTGCTAATCAAAACAGCAAATAATTGAAAAACAATTGGTGAGAAAACTTACGGGAAATTTGCAAATTGCCTTGCTGGGACTAAACGTTTAAAAACGGTGCAGCTTCTAACATCAGGTGCTAGCGAGGAATTTTCAAAGGGGGTTTTCTAAAATATGTAATTGCCCAGTTGGTCCATGACAGCTAGTGGGCCCGGAAAACGTTGGTTTTCAACAGTATTGAGGGTTTAAAATGCATTTCAAGCTGCGAAAAATTGTTATGTATAATACGGATTTTTTACATTATAAAAATGGGGTTCCGATCCTTAACTCCCTCCTTCTGACTACGTCCTTGCTTTTCATATCAGTACCTTTTGTGCATAGACTTGTTGAGAGGAAAACGCTTCATAGAAAATGAAAAATTAATTTTTCAGTTTGGCGGACTGGAAGCTGTCATTACTGGGTTCTCTGACGAATTCCCAAAGACAATTGGGAAACATCGAGAGCTGTTCGTCCTCGGCTTGTTAGTTGCGAGTTTCACTCTCTCGCTGTCTACAACGACATACGTGAGTAATAAAATAAGATGACATATTTTATACAAAGCCCGCGCAAGAAAAAACACCCACCACCGCTCAAAATAGGAAAATTAGTAATCATCAGGTTAGGTTTAGAAATGCAATTCGAATTTTCAAATCATTTCTAACCAGGGTCAGTGCTCTCACGCGGCATTGTGTGTTTGATATATTTTCTTTTAATTCTATACTCAGGGTGGAATATACATGGTCACATTGATGGAGACTTATGCTACCGGGACTGCCATTATGATCGTTGTGTTATTGGAAGCGATTGCTGTCAGCTGGTTCTATGGTGAGTATTGGATTTTACATACCGCCCACATTACACCATGGTTAAAGCAGTGGGCTTTAGGCTTAGATTGCGAGATCTTCATCTCCGACGCCAAGATAGTTCATTTCAACGTTCTAACCACTAGAAGATCATTGGAAATCAAGGGGACCACAGAGAAGCTGGGTGGGGGGGCCATGCTGCTAGGCGCAAAACTGAATTTATTTTTTCGTTTACAAGAAGACAACCTTTCTTCCTAGTTTCAGTGCTTGATAATCAATTCTTGCACCCTGGTGGATATCAACGTCATTTTTTTTTATTCCTCGCAAAACTGTGCTATAAAGACATTGTGCGATCATTTGGAACAAACGCTGAGCGCAAATATAGAAATGAACTTAGAGTTTGCAAATTAATTTCATTCTGATTGCTTTCTTTCGTGTCGGCTTTGATCGTCTTTATCGACAACGTAAAATAAAAAGTCAGCAATATCTTGGGTGCTGGTCCTGGACCTGTTGTCTTTTTATGTTTGTACTTTTGTTGATGTTATGTTTGCGTTACATAAGATTTTGGAAATGTCGTCACGGCATATTCGTCAATAATTCTGGTGAAATTGACGTAATGGCATTGCTACTGATTAGTCACAAATCTGTATATATCGACTATTCGTTCAGAAATCTTCGTTATGTTACTAAATTTTACGAAACGGCCCACTCAAACTTGATATTGCTGCGACATTGGCGCACATTATGTTCATTTAAACATTTAAAGCAGTATCGTGGCTACTGAAAATGAATGAATAAAAACACTATAACGCAAATATAACACTCAACTTTGACGTGATGTGTGTGTTTCTTGCGTGGTCACCAAAAAACCGCAAGTGTGTTGTGTGATGATTGATTCTTTGATTCGGTTGCCCGAGAGTGTTATGTCCACTCCCCGTTTACCAGATATTCGAATAGTAAACCGCTATTCTAATATTCGAATAATTTGCCAGCCCTATCCAGTAAGCAATTATTAATTTGATTGATTTCATGTTAATAAACTCGCTTTTCATGTATTATGTAATTACCTACAGGACTTATCTGGTATTAATGTTTGGTACAAAGGTTTGCGGCCCGCGACCGATTTCGTCACGTGAAAGTGGCCCGCGAGACGAAAAAGGTTGGGCAGGCCTGATTCAAACGTTGGTCCCACGCGTGTTCCTAGATTAAGTCGTCGTATCCGGTACAAGTAACTGTTCCCGTACTCGACATGGACTGTTAGCTGGACTAGAGGCCGTGGTTTGTCGTATGATTTCCTCTGGATGTATGTTTCTCTACATCTACATTCTACTACAGTGAATGTTCTCAGGTGATGTGAGAAAATAAATCGCTGATTACTAAACTATTTTTCTAGGTATCGACAGGGTCAGCCATGATATACGAGCTATGATTGGTTCTCCGCCCGGAATGTATTGGAAAATATGCTGGAAATATGTCAGCCCTGTGTTTCTATCGGTAAGTACGGAATTTTTTTATTTGGCACAAAGCGTACATATGGATCGTTCAGCTAAATTATTGTTGTTGATGAGAAAATCGCTTTTCTTTGCAATTAACGGACCGATTAATTTGATTTCAAATGTCCAAAAATTAAAGCCGATAGAAGGCTATCCATGGCTTAATGGGCACGAATTGTTGTATATATGGGTTGATTTTTGATCTTCGTTGTTGGGAAAGTTATTTTCTGTCTGTCGCATGTGGGTTCGGATTCCACTAAGAAGGTTGCTGTTTTATTTGAGTTAAAGACAAGGCGGATCATGTCTTTTAGAGGCCCTCAGCACTTGAGATTTTTGCACCCTATGTATAAAATAAAAACAAAGAAACTGGTATTGTGTGTTAACTGAAATAGAATTAGTGAGTTTCAATATTTATTACTGATTGAGGACCATATTACGATTATTTGCATGATTTTGGGGAACAGTTCTTATACTTACAAACATTGATGGAGAGGTTTATGATGAGAACTTTTTGGAATCTTATTTTTTCTGAAATTTCATTCAAAATTTTTCAGTTTTATTTAAATCAATGGGAACAACACTTTGTTGCAATAAAACTCTTGCAATTGACTACTTAATAGTGGAGGAGGCCGTAACCGACTATCGGTTACGTGAACCATCCCATCCTATGGCGGTGAGAAGTCCAGTAATACTCTCTCGCATATTCACCTCCACAGAATACAATTTAATTAATTGTCATCTTTTTCGTGCCTTATCCATTTATTTTTATTCACAGTTCATGATCATAATGAGTTTTATCTTCATTCCTCCACTGGAGTACGGTTCCTATGAGTTCCCTAATTGGTCGACAGGAGTGGGATGGGCCATCACGGTATCATCGGTTATTTTAGTACCCACGTACGCCATCTACCGGTCAGTAAAAAAGTGTTACACAAAAAGAAGGTTGGTACGTTACAAGTTTATTTTATTGTTAATTCTTTGTTATTGGGAGAAAACTGATCTCAGCTTGATGACGCATTCAGTGACGTAATCATTGCCGTGTTTCCGAATGCCGAAACTCTGATAGAGTGTGCTCTTCGCCAAGATGAGTGGTGTGCGCGTTGGCCTATTGGCTGAAGTTCAAACTATCATGACGTCACACTTTACACGCTTCGGGGTTGATCATTGGTTCAAGAAACTTTCTTCAAAGAAACCTCTCAACACTTGTTTTTGCCTTACCGCGTTCTCTTCTTTTATGTAATGGGTATTTCCGTAGTGTGTGTACCAGGTTAGGGTTTGGGCATAATTTTATTCCGATTTTTCTTATTTTAGTCCTATTACGCGTTCGGGGACTGTCTGTGAATATAAACCAAGTGAACCAGCCAAGTGAATATAAACCCCCATAGAGTTCTTTTGCACAAATTGATGTAAAGTAGGCGGACAAAATTAGTTACCTCCATATTGGTACACACACTTTTAGAGCGCCACGTAATGTGCCACGTTTAATAGTAAAAAATCAAACAAATAAGAACAAAACATAGAAAAATTACAGTAACTTCTTTTTAATTTATGTAGTCATGACTAATAGTACCAAGTAAAACCTTTCGCAAGTTGTCCCCAGAGAACCACTTTACGCCCCATATGGCCGTTCTCTCGCCAGAATAAATGAAAACAAAACAACCCAACTCTTATTTTTGCTTTTCAGGATAAGCCAGAAACAGAAGAACATAGAAGATAAAATATCTCATGAAAGCGATTGTTTGTGAGGTCATCAAAGTATGACGTCATTTTAAGACTTACGTATCATGTCCCCGCCAAAAGCGCCAAGAATGGACGCTAAGGAGTATTTATCAAAGAAAGTTCAATATATTTCCCGACTTTGTTTCACGCCCAGTTTTACATGGCCGCCAGTGGGCGCTAAAGAACTGTGGAGATTTTGGGTTGAAGAATCGGAGAAAATTCACAATTGACTCCTGATTCCGAGTTTGAAAATAGTTCGGCTTCAACTCCGGGTTCAAAAAATTTCGACTCCAACTTTAAAATAATCACATATTGTTAAGGAATACTTTGCGCATGCAAGCCTACTGTAATAATAGATCAGGGTTTGCAAAATTTTCGTCGGTGGGCCATATCAACTTCAGACATTTAGCTGGGCCGCACAAAACGAAGATAATGCGGATGTCGCTTAGCCTCACAGTAATAAAGACATCGTGCAAAACGGCGGAAGATATAACGCAGCGGCAAAAGAAAAAATAATGTTTCTTTGCCCATGTGAGCGCTTTTTATGTTTTTAAAAATTGTTCATGTGGGTGAGAATACAGAATGTTTCTTGTTCTCGTCGCTGCGTTTTGCACGGTGCCTTTAATACTAAGCTAAGCAATAGCCGCATACTGTTATCGGCTAAATGTCAGAAGTTGGTTATGTGACCCAGAGACAAAAAATGTTGCACACCCTTGGGTTAAAGCATATTTTCAATTTGAATCGAAAAATTGAGCCTTGTATGGAACTTGTATCGGGAATAGGTTCCACGACCGCTTTTTCTTTTACTGCAAAGTTTCAATGTTGTAATTAATTGTGCATAATCATCGTTTTTCTATTATATTGTCTGAAGCTTGTCAAAATAAATGTAATTTATGTTGACTATCGACTTGTTTTAGGGAATTGGGCCCCTATCGACTAGAAACGGGTATCATGTGGGGGCGCATCCACGTAAAATGGCGTCCATGGCAAAGTTTAAAACCGCGCCCTCTTGGTCGTTGACTGACAATCTTTGACGAATATTTTCGAATTGATTTAACTTCTACGTAATGATAAGAGTTTTCGATTATTTTATTGAAACATTTTACGATTGAAACTCTTCACCCATATCGTACCCTAGTTACGTCACTGGTATTATGGCATCAGTTTTGATCCTGAGATATTTGTGTATCTAATTGGGGCACTGGGTTACTACTCACATGGGAATTGTGACGTTGCGTTATCTGGTCCCATTTGAAAAAACTTGATCGAAGTAAACCGTCTTATCGGCCTTCCTGTCCCCCTTTTGCTTAAAAAACCTTAATTTCAGACAATTTTGTTTTCTGCAACGTTTTATTCAACCTTGACGAGAGAGAGAGAGATAATGATTTGTGCTTAAAATCCTCAAAAAAAATAGGAAAAAAATATTAAATATTCAAAAAAGTAGGAAAAACTGTGCAGTCGGAACACACAATTTGGTAAAGGACAAAAAGTATCATAAGATCATGCATGATCAAGCTAGAATAGGATATAAATAGGTTCAGAAATATTAAAGTTCATAAGGTCAGGAGGTGTAATACAGAACAACTGGGTGATTTTTCATTCATATCTGGGAAAGGAAAGCCGTTAGGACGACTCAATCTTCTGGATGCATTGTCCAGAGATCAGTGGAAAGAATTGCCAATCTTAATAGAGATTTCGCAATTGAGATTTGCTTTTTACATTTATTAATTTATTTGACTCAAAACAAGACTCAGGAAAAACGGTCATCAAGTTATAGATTTTTCAGATGATATAGCGAAGGATTGAATAGCTTAATCTAATGGCAAACTGTGGCTATCTTTGCAACCTTTTAAATTATTATAAAATGAAATTTTCTGGAAAAATCGATAACAAAGAAACAATTTAGTATGACACCCTGCGTAAGGTGGCATCATTGTTTTTTATTCAACCATTCGGCACCAGACAAGGTGATTAGCCGTCACAGGAATTCAATGTTTATTAAAAGATGTGAGTTCTAGGGGGAGATGTTAAGAAAACAGCTTTCAGTTTAATTCAAAACAGCCTGGGTTAGGTAGTCTTTAATTTTTCATTAAATTTTTGTGACCAACAATACTTCAGGCAATTAACCAATCTATAGATATCAAAATCATCAAAAAAAATAGAAGATCTTTAGTAAAGCACAAATTTAACAAAATCAATTTAATTCATTTTAAAACGAAAGGCCAATCTTTTTTATCTAGCCGATTAGCTCAATGACTCCATGTATAGATTTAAAATATTCGAGATATAGTGGTTCTCTGCTTATTTCTATTTGAAAAACCCCTGGATGAGGGGGCACCCGCTCAAATTAATAAATTCGAAGCTGTTCATGCAAGACACTATAATAAACTTTTGATAAAAATAGAAAAGCATAAATAAATATATGTCAGTATCAGAGTTCCGCTGAGAAGCAAACAACGAGGCAAAAACGTACAAAAATGTTGCTGTCGCTATCTGTATAAAGTTATAAGTTGGAAAGGTCGCATCACATAATTTTATAAATTTAATTCTTACTCAAGAGAGCAATTTTTTCACCTATATATGGAGAAGTTATAGCTTGGCTTTGAATAAGGACCCAAAAAAGCTGTCAATGATGTGTGAGAAGATCTATATTTATGGCAAACAGAAATTTCCGGTAGTTGGGACACCCAGGGTGAAGTGACGGGGGATTTGATGTAACCACTAGGCCAGGTGTGTGCAGCAGGCGTCCGAGGCCACGACCCGCCAAGCCAATTAGTGTGGCAAATGTCAACAGTCAGATTTCCCCCTATCAAGCATAAAATTCTAATCCGACAGTTTATGCCATAACTTCTGTTGAAGCTGACGTTAACAAACAATGCAAGAACTTGAAATTTCAAGTGTCTCACTGAAATGTTAATTAAAATTTTGCATTGTGGGAATTTATTAAATTATTGTGTACATGGGAAAACTAAATTTTTTAAGTGGCTCAGCTGGGTGTCTAAAGTTGGTAATATGGCCTGCCGACAAAATGTGTTGCATGACCCTACACCAGAATATTGAACCAGATTTAATTTTTTTCTACCAGTATTGTAAACTGCATGAGAAAATCTGACTTTGACTAGACGTTGCAGAATACGTGAAAGTGTGATGCCAGATTTTTGAACAAGCCAATACACCCATTTCGATTCTCGCTACAGTATCTCTGCAGTCAGTGCATATTGATCAACTAATGAACAGGTGTTGGGTATTGAATAAGTTGGATTTGTCAAGCAATGAATAGTATAAAAGCTGTTGAATGTTCCTTTTTAAATATTATTTTACTATTGATAAAAAAATTCATTGACTTTCAGTGACTCATGTTCTTTGCAACTTTAGGCGGGAAGTCTTGGACTGCTGAAGTCTAGTGCCAATCTGCATTAACTGACGCACACTGCACACCATGATTCTATATTGTTTCAGTAGCTATTGGCATTTCATAAGTCATGGTTGTCCGTAACTTTTCTCAAAGATGATTTTTCTTTAATTGCGAGTTAGTGCACAATATTTTAAATGAATTTGTTCAAAGCACGATCACACACTGATGTAAAGGTGGCTCATCTCTGAGCAAAGTAACATGCATTGACTCAGAAGTGAAGAAGACTCGTCTCCGATCAAAGTTACATGCACTCACTCAGAAGTGAAGGAGAGTTATCTCTGAACAAAGTTACATGCACTCACTCAGAATTGCCAGATGCTACTGAGACTATATATAATTAGGATGACAAGGTACTTGCCAGTGAATCCTGGTTGGCAAAATACTTTATTTAAGAAGTTCAAGAAGATAAGTCCCATCTGGTAAATTTTAGGCAAATGTTGACTAAAAATTCATCTCTTTAATAAACGGAAGCGCCATTACAGAGGTGCATAATGATACACATTAACATTTCATTGAGAAATTCACACAATTCATATTTCATTCGCCAAGTTGTGATCCAATATATATATGTAATTTCATTTAACAAGGACTAATCAGCCATTTATAAAATACTATAGGATTTATGCGCTTATCTGAGAAGAGGATAGCCATAATTTTAACAGAAACATGATTTAATAAAAAAAATTTCATCAAATCATGATTTTAAACGAAGAAGTTTTCAAAATTCCTTGTGCAGGAGTTAAAAATTTCTTTCCGTATTCTGGTTTTGGTTGGTAAATCCGTGTATACGACCAGGGAAAATTTGGATACACATGACCAATGCTATAGACATATATATATATATAGCTTAACTATGGATCACACCCTGCCATGGATAATTTCAGCCTGCTTTCCTGGGAATTTGACCTTTGCACTTTAAGAGGAAGAAAACTATATAGTGGATGTCAGGAACATTTGACTCAAACTTTACACTTTGCACTTTATAGACTGTATGTTGAGGACATCAAGTACACTTGACACGACCTTTGCACTTTAGTAGGAAAGAGACTGTATATTGGGGAAGCCAAGTACACCTGACCCGACCTTTACCCTTTAGATGGAAGGTTTTATATTAAAGGCCTGTTGCCAGGGCCAGATGGGTACATTTGGCCTGGCATTGGCCTGATCCCATCTGGGGCCCAACCCCCTGGATTGGGGGCTGAAAATTGATCGTTTGATTCGGGGGGTAAATATGAAATCGTTTGTGAAGGTTTATCACTCGGTAACATAGTCCGCAACACTTCTGGAAAGCTTGTACGTGATTGGTGTTGAAATTCAGATGGGGGAAGAGATTCTGGTCCCATGTGGGGCATCATCATATGTCCCATGGGTGATGGGTGCCCTCCTGGCCCAGGATACCCCTGGGGAGGATAATTTTCGTTCATTACAGGTCCTCCCATTCGGGGATGCCCCAGTCTTGTATCGTAGTTGGGTGGGTGTCCAGGCATTCTCATTCCACCCCCACCGGGCATGGGGTTATGGGATAAAGGTGGGGGCTCGTGGGAGTGAGTCAGTGGAGGGGGACTCGCTGTGTCTTTAACCTGGAAAAATAAAATAATATTTACATTGCGCTTGTAACCCAAAACCATTATGGCTGTGGTTCCAAACCTTTTTGGCGCTATGGACTTAGGATAATTTGTTAAGTTGTGCAAAGTTTTGAATAAAAACAGTCAATGGTGTTATATCAGGCCAGCGGAGTAAGAGTTTTGCTAAGTTATGGTATATTGACATGTTCAGTAGGTATACGCTACAGTGGAGGTATGGTGACGTCCATATCACTAAGATTTAAAGTTAAATCTCAGAAATTGGTGGTTCATTTCACTAACAGAAAGATTTTCGAAAGAGAGTTTGCTTTATGTGATAAATAGTAATGCACCATTATATGTTCCTTAGTAACGATGCACAGCATACATTTTCTTGCTACAGCGAACTGGGTAATCAGAGATTTCAAAAAAATGTGCACATCGAAAGAGAGGTCTATGGCATATAAATGAAAACAACAATTATAGGTTTAACTGGCGGATACCTAATATTGTAAGAATCAGGTTTTTAAGTATTTGTGATGACCCTCGCAAAATCTATCAAGTGATAACCTTTGCTCAAGGATCTAAGAAAACAATTGCACCAAGAGCCGAGTTTTCAGAACCCTGCACTGGACCATCGCTGGCAAATGAACAGCGCCGTATCTACGTAAAATGGCGCCCATAGCAAAGTTTAAAACTACTTTAATATTTAGTTGAAAATTTATAACGACTGGTATTGAAATTAGATACCTGAGCCTTATTATTTGAGTAAAAATACGAGTTTCAGGTATTTTCAGTTTGAAATTATTTTATATAAATGTTTTACAATAACCTTTTGGCCAATTTTGCGCCCCTGTTCAAACGGCACCCATGGCACGAGCCATGGCTGCCACACCCTAGATACGCCACTGCGAACGAATATAAAAACTTACAGCGTCTTGGTACAGCGGGGTCTTCTCAGGCATTTTAAAAGAATTTACTTGATTTTCCATGATAGATATGGTGCTTTGTCCAAGTTTTGACAATTGGGGATTTGGTATTCTTTGTGATGTCATCATTCCTTGTGATGTCATCATGCCTTGTGATGTCATCATTCCTGATTGTGACATCATAACCGGTGATGACATCATGACTGGTTGTTGCTGTTGTTGTTGCATCATCATGCCTGTTTGTGACGACATCATCCCAGTTTGTGATGTCATAATGCAAGGCTGTGATGTCATCATACCGTGATGCATCATACCAGAGTTAGGTGTCGGAGGTCCCTGTGAGAAAACAAAAACAATTCTATCAAAACAGGCTTGGCTACTGCATTTATATAGAATCTTCCTTGTTTTGACATAAGAGAGAGCTTCCCAAACTGGGGGTCGTGACCCCACATGGCTGGCAGAGAGTATACCAATTTCACACTAAGTACTACTGGTATATCTATTGTACTCTTAGACATTTGATTCGAAACACAAATATTGGAACTAGTGCAAAAACATAAATCTCATGATTTTGAGAGAACACAAAGGATCAGAGAAGCAGCGATCTCGCACAACTTTGATGAGACTTTGGGCAGACTTTAATGGTATGACCTGTGCGCTCGCATTGAACTGTTTAGCATTTTAAACGTGAATGGGGAGATTGGAAAACTTAATATATTGAAAAGGGTCGCAAACTTGAAATTTGAAAAGCTCCGACATAAAAGTGGGATGATGCAAGAGTTGCAAGCAGCATTGATGCGAAAGAGCTATATATAGTTTTCATACAAGTGCGCTCAAAGCCAGGCTGAAGTAGTGGGCATGGGTGTACCCAGGGGGGGAAAGGGGGGCTGGAAAAGGTTGGGGGGGAATTGGGGTGCAGGTCAGGACCCCCATTTTGAAATGGAAAAAAACGTATTTTCTGTATCATATATGGCAATTTCCTGGACCTGCTAGCTGTTATGGACAAGTTTGGCAATCAGAAATTTACAGACACCTCTCTGGAAATTCCTGGCTCCACCCATGGCATGGGGTTTCAACCTACTATGTGAACACAAAGAATAAAAGGTGCTTCCGAAGTATTCGTACCAAGATGACGCACAACCTGAACATAATATGCGTACCATGTTGCGGTCGATCCGGTTGTGCGCCATCTTGGTACGAATACTTCCAGAGCACAGAATAAAAAGTACTCACCCCCATGTTCGAATTCGGTCCTGCCCAATCAGTGGACGGTGGGTTACTCATTGGCCCCGCAGAGTGAGGTCCCCCGGGCCCCATCATGACCTGCTGAGTGTCTACACCAACTGGCGTAGACCCCACACGTAGTCCTCCCATCCCTATTGCTGGGGACCGAGGGTGCATGGGTGAGGGTAGGGGGTGATGCCCCATGTCTCCTGGGTTAGAGTAACGGGGTCCCATAGCAGGATTCATAGCATTGACACTCGGTGACTGAAGGGGTCCTTGACCTGGTGGTAGAAAAAAATTGAGCACAACGAAAGAGGGGGGGGGGACTAAAATATTAAACATCGAACTGTCTTTATTTATTTTCTACTTTGAATCTGTATGTGTCAGTTGCCACAAGGATGCTTGAACGAGATCACATTAAAAAGATAAATAAGAATAGCATAATTGATTCCCATGAAATAGCAAGTATATTTGTAAAATTCAGATTATGGTCTAACTCAGGGGTGGGCATGGTTTTTGGAAAGAGAGGCCAAAAATATTGCCCACCTAGACTAGCTCACTGGCAGGCCATGTAAGTGTGACATAATAATTTAGCTATCAATCTTCACGAATTAGGGTTCAAAAAAAGATATAGCAACAGATTATTAGAAACCATCCGTAAACAATAGACCTAATTACATGACAAGAATACGTAATCTACGCTGGGAGAGCGTTATTGGAAGGAACGTCAACAAAATGAGCCAGATTGAATCACGCACTGGGCCCAATTTGGCCCGCGGGACATACTTTGCCCATGTCAGGTCTAACTTTTTCAGACAAAACAATATATGACTAAGCCAAATTGAGATTAATAATAGTTACCACACTATTGGGAGGAACTATATAAAACCGCCATTAGTTCTTTAAATTTCTGACAGAAGAATTTGGACAACAAATAAACAAGGAAGGACCTGTGACAAACTTAAACAAAAATAATATTCAAACCACTGACCTTGATACATCGGTGACCTTGGTGGTATCTGAGAGTTCAAGTTAAGGTCAGGAGGTCGTTGACCCCCACGTCTCGCAATTGCATCCATCATGGACCCCACACCAGCCGGCCCCCGCATTCGAGGGTCCATGGGTCCAGTGGGGCTTCCCATTGGGCAAGGCATCATGTCATACCTTTGTTGCATTTCCGATGGGGGGTAAGGCCCCATGGGGTCATACCCACGAGGTGTGGGGACTCCTGGAGTTAACCGTGGTTCCATGTCCATTGGGGGCCCTATCATCCCCTGTGGGGCCATAACAGGGGATGCTGAACCTGGCATGTGGGATAAACGAGTTGTGCCACCCTCTGAACCTGCCCAGTCGGGACCCCCCATCCCTGGGTCAGATTCAAACGGAACATTATTATAAAAGCTGGCTTGTTTCATTAATTGTTCTGAAAAAGGGTAATTTTCACCCCCACCGGGTTGCCGCATTCCAGGAGGGGGCAGTCTCGATACTAAAGCGGGTCTCATTCCCGGTTGTCCCATATAGGGTTCGTACATTTGCATACGAGGATTTTGTCCTGGAGGGTATGCCCCTCGGGGAACCCCCATTCTGTGTCCCATGTACCGTGGATCTTGCGATAGTCTTGTCATTGGCCGATGACCTGGTCCCATTCGCTGAAAACGTGGATTAACTGGTTCCATTTGCATTCTTGGGTCCATGGGGTAGTTCTCTGGTCCGACCCATCGATGTGGTGGCCCGTTCATTCCATACGGGGGAGGGGGTCGTGAAGGGAGTTCCCCTGGATCTTGCCTCCTCCTCTTATCGGCGTTATGCTCCTGTGAAGATTGGTGATATTTGTGTCGTAAAACTGGGTTCTAAATGAAGTTGCAGTTTTTGTTACGGTCTATCGCACCCACCAGAGGGAGCCCAATGAATTGGATTGAGTCAGGAGGTAGTTTACACCCATGTCTTGCAATAGCACCCCACATAAATATGTTGATATCGCAAGTTACATATCTTGTGCTCAAATTTCACGTCCACTAACAAATCACCCAGGGGCCAGGGTGTAATAAATTGCCCATAAATGTAGAATCAGAATGAAAACCAGGTTTTAAAGTTTGTTTCGAAATAGAACAAAAACCCTTTCAGCTGTGAGACCAAGGCCATAAAACAATTTCTCAAAATTTTTCAAATGAAATGATTCTCCAAATTCTAACACACAAACCTGTAAAAGTTGGAACCATTCCGCATTCTCTTGTGTCATTGGTTGACCTGGCATCATCTCAGGCGGCATGGGCTTCATGCCTGGACGAACACCTTTCTCCATGGGAACCATTGGGCCGTAGTTCAACTGCGGCTGTTGATTAGGTGGCCATCCTGGTCCTCTTGGAACTGGAACGCAAAAATTATCATTTTTCAAGTTTTGAGGAAAAAATTGAATATTATTTGGGACAACTTGCTAAAATTGGCACTGTATGGTAAGCCTACTCCTAACCTACCATTACTCGCCAGTCGCCATATCTTCCTGTGATGTTGTCAGGGGAGCTTTTGAGGTGAAAATTGAATATTATTCGGTGGAAGAATAATTTTTAATTTTCCGTTGAATTAATAATTACTGAAGTACTATCATAAAACTTTTACAGGATGGGTCAAGAAAATGTTAAAATTTCTCAATTGTCAGAATGTAAAAAATGGGTAACATTTGTTTGGCCCACTTTATATGATGTATGCTCGCAGAAAGACCTCAACTAAAAGTGAAAAGAGTACTAGAGGAGGTTTGCGATCCCCCACTGATGCACTTTTAATTTATATATGTTTGCTCAAAACAATGACAATAGTAATTTTTAAGAATCATTGATGTTTTAGAAGCTAATGCCCAACAGAAATGTAGAGAATTTGTACTTGAACCTTAACCTGGTACACATACTACGGGAGTACCCATTTATGCCTGGCATTCTGCATAACCGAGAAATTTAGGTCTACCAGCCGTGACTTATCGTAATCATACTTCCAACCTACCATTGTTCGCCATATTATCTTCCTGTGATGTTGTGAGCAACAGTTTTTCCATCTCTCGAATCTTTCCTAGCTTGTTTTCCCGGTCCCGTCGCTGCGGTTCTGTCAGTTCCTATAAAAATAAAACATTATTGGTTGGGATTTGATTATCATATCAAAGAACAGTAAATACTTGATAAATACAGTTAGGCCAACCGTTCATATTCACTAGGCCAGGGTTACCCAAATTTTTCGGGTTGCGAACCATCAAGTTTCGACCTGAATTTTGTCATCATATTGGTAACAGCTGGAAATGCTGCCTCAAACATACAGGTATTTGCAAAAAAAAATTTTTAATAAGCTTTTCTACCAACAATCTATACCGGTATTCGTCTGCAACCATCAACCAAAATGATGCAATAACTTGAAATTGATCATTGAAGATCGATCAGACTTTTTTCATACCGTTGCGTACCCCCGGTGCAGTCATCAGAGACCATCAGGGATCTGCGAACCCGTTTGGGAAATCCTGCACTAAGCAATGGTATCTATGGTCCCTCATCTCCATATGAAGCCACAGAATGGTTCTCTCGGAGTCACGAGCAAATTTGTAATGACCTAATTAAATTGACTGATTTATTCATTACGCGCATTGCCATAGAGCAATGAAGAGATTGCACTCATCGCTTAGCATAATGCTCCACCTGCATGGGTTCGAAGGTTTGGATCTATGTGTGAAAATTTTATGCAAAGAGGTTTGCTGGACTTCTCCCAGCCGTAAGGTGGTTCACGAAACCGCTGGTCAGTCACATCTTCCTCCACCATCAAGGTCATGCATCTGAAACAAATACCTGACTAACCAACCCCATACCTGTCATTGGCCGGACAACAAGAAGCATTGGTTTACCTCACCATGTGATAAAGCCATCTTATCGTCTTTCCTCACCCCCGGGATAAATAATGTAAATCCTATCCTCCAATGTTTACTTATTAGTTAAAACAGTTACCTGGTCTCCATTAAAAGTTGACGAAGTGATTGGCTGAGGTAAAGACGTCTCGATGTTCGATAAAATTTGATCGGCAATTTCGGAAGTTGGGATCGGCAATATCGTCTTAGTATCTTGCAGATTGATCGCTTGAACATTCTCGGGGAAACTTTGCGTCGTCTCAATTTTCGGACTTTTTAAAGGCAATGCGTCATTTTTTTCTGTCGAAATATCTGTTGGAGATCGATTTGTTCGAGGCATTGTTATATTACTGATGGGGTCAGAGTTCAAAGGTTGTTCAAAAGGTGCAGAGTTCAAAGTTCGTTGCGAAGGTTTCAGTTTACAGTTCCCGAGAAAGGATTGATGGAATAATATAATATCAGGGACCTTGTTGCTCTGTACAGTGTTGGCTGCGTTGTTCGCCACGTCAGTGTTGAATATGTAGAGATATGGATTGTTTGTCTGAAATGATTGAACGTTAATTAAATATGTTAATTAGGACAAATTGATCCATGTAGAGCCCCAGGTCTCTGTTTCAGTAACCTAGGGCTTCGCGAACTATTCGTTTACTTCTTCTCAATACTGACTTGGCTAATTTTATAACTGTCCAAAGAAGCAATAACGGTATTAACAAAATTTGACAACGGACAAGGGAATTTATCGATACCATATATTGTTTTGGCCCTCACAGATGTATTAAATGAAGTAAAAATACTTGAACAATTACTGGTAAAAACCAACAAACCTGGTTAAGATATATTGATAACTGACTTCATAACAAAATTGGGACCTCCTGAAGTATGTGCACCAAGATGGCGCACAACCCAAACATAGTATGTGTACCAGGTTAGGGTTCAGGTTATGCGACATCTTGGTGCACATACTTCAGGAGCACCCAAAATCGAAATTGTGAAGGGACTTTATGGACACCCTGTAGTACTCTTTGTAAAATTGGTGTACTTTCCGCTACCCCTTATATTCGTTGCGCACCCCCTTGCAGGGACGCGATCCAATTTAGGACCCCTGTTCTACTGTACAAATCAAAAGTTAAATACATGATAATGGTACAAACGCACCTGAACATTGAGCAACACACTTAACACTGAGCTGTTCATTTTATCTTCTTTAGAGCTGGACCTACCAGGAGTTCTGCCTTCCTTCTTGGCTGGAAAACGAATTTTAAATTTAGAATTTTTTTGACGTAAAATGTTCTTGTGCCAATTGTGAGCAATTTTTTAGGCCAAACGTTTTTTCCCAGTGACATCAATTATGTGGAATCTACTACATAACGGCTGTTTTTCTTATCATATTAAATGTTTCAACTATTCTGTCAATCTGCATTGCCTGGCACAATAAGAACCACTAGTGGGGCTGTCAAGCCAATATCACCCACCACCTTACTCGGAACTGGAAACAAACCATAAAGATTACAGTTCTTAAAAAAAAATATTAGACCACCATCAAAAAGTAATTTTGCTTTTCAGAAACCAGATAAAGCATGGAATACCACTGCCATCTGGTGGAAAAAGTGGCTCTGCAATATAATCCCTAGGGGGCGATATTGGGTCAGGGGTGAAATAGATTATGTAAAATATGGAGGAAACAAAAATATTTTATGGGGAATTTTTAAAATAGAATCACCTGCACACACAATGAGACAGGAAGAAAACTTAATTCTAAGTCAAGTTACAGCCAACCATAGAAGTGACATGAGCTACTGAAACTACTTGATGATGGTGATGCAATACAAAAAATTACCCAGACTTGAACTACACTCGTCCCTTAGCAAGTCACTGGCTCTCAGTCAAAAGACTCGATAGAAGTAATGACAGCTCATCTATTAGCAAAGCTATGGGCACTCACTCAGAAAAAAAAAGATTCATTCACGAGCAAAGCCATGCTCAGAAGTAACGAATACTCAGTAGTGGAAAAGTTATGGGCCACTCACTCAGAATTAAAGCAGACTCATCTCTGAGCAAAGTTACGGGCACTCACTCAGAAGTCATGTCTGACCAAAGTCACGGGCAAACACTAAAGTGTCAAAGGCTGATTACAGGGCTTTCTTTGTTCAGAGCAAAAAGCGCAAATAAGTGCCAGGTAGATAAAGTGCAGCATACCTGTGTTGTCATCCTTTGATTTACTTTTCTTCCTCTTCGGCCTTGGACCCGATGCATTATCTGAAATGGAATGGAATTTTATATTCAAGTTGAATGCTACTAGGAATTAGTTTGAGTAGTTTTGAATAGATAGTAGTTCTCTAAGCACCAGTGGAGTTCCTTTGTGAGAGAGGGAAGGAGATAAGATGGCTAATGATATGAACACCGACTACCGGGCATGTTATGTTTCCGCATGAGTCTGCATTTTCTCTTTGCTATTACATCCGGGCGTTGGGTTTTAGCCATAGCTACGTGTGAGGAAATTTCAGGACTTGCCATCAGATTAGTTAATGTAACTGCATGTCGGTTACGTCTCCTCTCCAATCAAGTCCATGCATGTGACATAGAAATAACTGGTTCACTATTCACATACCCCATATGAACTGGTGACCTTAGTTTTGACGTATAGTTAAGCCATCTTACCGGCCTTCTGATAAGTGAACGATAAGTCATAACCGGGATAAATGCTCTCCTATCCCAGTGTTTGTGTCATAGTTGCAGTTATATTTTAGCACATCATTACCCAACCAGGAAATCGTTTTGTTGGTTGCAGCGAAGAAATAGTGTATTTTTACTGGTAATCATTGGTGATACATATTTATCAACACATTATAAACTGTTCACACAGTGTGAATACCCAGACTGAGTTGTGTGTAACATTAACTAAGGATCGTTAAAAGATTGAACAGGGTCCTAGCCACGGGGTGATTTTGGGGGTCGACCGGTCCCCCCCCCCCCCCCCCCTTAGTAATGGAAAAAAAATAAAAGCATATTTCTGTATTACACATAGCAATTTTTTGTAGCTTGAAACGCTTTTTAGACCCTAAAGGCTCACGAAAACACACATTGTCTAGCGTTCGTAACAATTTAATTCAGTTGAACAGGCAAAAATACGATAAAGGCTGGAAACCACTTTGAAGCAATTATCTTGTCATAAAATGGGAACACTGTTTCAAAAACAAACAAAAAGGGAACACTGGATTGGAATCCTTACTAAGTTAATCATTAAAAAATGATTCAAATAATTTCTTTAACAATTGCATAAATACTATTTATTTAAGATTACAGCTTGTTTACCCCTAAATCATGTATGGCCATTCAATAAAAGGCTCATACTATCAAAACCCTACATTCGGCCGTGGATGACTCAATAATAAATACTAAATTTGTTAATCAAATAGAAAGGAGACTCATTATTTGTTGGCCTGGGTGTGACTAGCGTGGTGTTGGTCTCATTGTATCAATACTGGGTCAAAATATTATCTAATTTTTAGTTTGTCACGGCAAACGAAATTCTACTTCTGGAATAATATTTTCAAATATGAAATATTGTCTAAGACTCCAAGTCTAACATAGGCAAACTATGGCCCGTGGGCAATATCCGACAAGTTGGGTAATTTAATTTGGCCTGCCTGATGCAACTGAACTAAAATCAAATTTTGAAGTTTTAGTTAAAAAAGGCTCAAGAAATTTGTTGAGATTGCAATTAAATGTAGTTTTGGCACGAGGTTTATTGTTTTCCATTCTTGCTTTTGTAACACTGTGAACATCATGCTCGTCGGTCTAGGTGGGGAAGATTTTTGGCTCTGGTCCAAAAACCATACTCCCCCCCCCCCCCTCTGCTCTGAGTTTTATATTAGAAAATATTTAATTCTTACTTAAATGTTTTTTTAATTCCCAAAACAACAACTTCTATTCCGAATACAAATATTTTTAATAAATATGGAATGTCGAATATTCAGTATGTTTAATGTGTTACATTAGTAGTTGCCCAAAACTAGTTAATTCAGTTCTAAACATTCTAAAAAAAAAAATTTTGAATGCGGAATACCCAATCAAGTTCAACTTCAATTGTAATTTTGACCAATTGAATGCTAAGAGCTAATGGAACGCACATTTCGTCTTCTGCCAATGAAATGATGAAATAAAAAACTTTTGCTCAGAGCAAAGTCACTAAGATGGGTAGGAGAACTTTTTCAGTGAGAATTAAAGTAATGTCACACCCACCCATTCAGAAGGTTAAAAAAGATCCTCTGAGCATTGTTACCACTGACAACCACATGCCAAGAGCTACCACTGAAACTAGGGGGCTCCCGAAGTATGCGAACCAAGATGGCGGACATCGGAATGTAATATGTGTACTAGGTTAGGCCATAATTTTAGGTATAAATACTACGGGAGGCTTTTGGCTAGTCTTCAACTGATAATAGGACTAAAATAAGGAAAATTGGAACAAAATCATCGCCTAACCCTAACCTGTTACCCATGTTACGTTCCGATGTCCGCCATCTTGGTTCGCATACTTCGGGAGCACCGAAACTAGAGATGTGCATTATGTGAGCACTCATTTTTGAAAAACGTTAAAGGCAACCAATTAAGCAGAAAACTAAGATCAAAGCAAGGCCAAGAGCACTAACTCACAATTTGATGAGAATCATTTTTTAAGGTCACATGTGATGCAACAATGAAATACAAAAGGCTACTAAACTTTGTTCAAAAATTCCTACTTAAGCACTCACTCAGAAGTGAGAATCTCACAATGAAAAGTTGGAGTAACTACAGAAACAGACTAGCACTACACGTCTGACAATTGAAATTTTTTTTTATGGCGCTCCAGAAGTATGTGTACCAATATGGAGGTAACTAATTTTGTTCGACTATTTTACATCAAGTTGTGTAAAGGGACTGAAACCTATCCCCGAACTCGTAATGGAACTAAAATAAAGGAAAATCGGAATAAAATTATGGCCTAACCCTAAGCTGGTACACATACTACAGCAGTACCTTTTTGTTGGTAATTATATTTTTTTATTTCTATTTGAAAAAAAAACATTGAAATATACTGACCTTTCTTATCCTCATCCCTTGAATCTGCTGACTTTGTTCTTTCTCTTTTATTCCCGATCTTTTTGCTAGAATTCGTGGTGTTTGGAGATATTGAATCCGCACTGACACATCTCTTATCGTTTGTTACTGAAGGGGATGGCGGGGGCCGCATTTTTCCACTCCCCGGGGAGGGAGTTTCAAATCCCAGAGGCGACCGGAGTGGGGGGCCCATTTCAGTCCCGATTGGGGCCGCAGGAATTGAATCAACAGTACTTTGTAGCTGGGACATGGGGTTCATACCTGCCTGACTCATTGAGGACGGCGTCGAAAACGGGGGTTGTTTTAATAAATTGGGGGGTATATGTCTGGGGGATCCCCTATTCCAAGGTCCATTAGCCCCCATGTCCATTGCAAAACCAGAGTTCGAGCGATAAACTGGTCCTTCGTTATACATATTGTACTGAGGTCTGGCTGGCTTGTTGAAATGTAAATTCGATTGCAGCCTGCTCGGGCCAGGTGGGGCCATAGTGCACGGAGCGGTAACGTTAGGGGGTTTCACCCCCGCACTGTATGAGGTAGTTGTTGTCGGTGATTTGTAAGGAACTGAATCAATCGGACGTGACATGTTTTTCAACCTGAAATATAAAATTTTGACATTAGTTAAAATGCTGGCTAAATTTTGAGTGAGAGAGAGAGATTTAATATTTGTCAATCAGAAAAATGAGAATTGCAGTATTATCAAAAATATACAACAACATACACAAGGTTATTCTATTCAGTATAAACTGGGGGGGAGCGATACAACCATACAGTCATCAGAGTCAGCTCCCCCAAGTGGCCACTACTTTGTAGAATTTTCATCCTACTAGATGTTAATCTGCCAATTTTGGCTTCAAATGCTTTAAGTTTTGTTACAACTAACTCCAGCACTACTAGATTTTTATTTATAGACTTGCAGATTTTCTCTGAGCGAATTTATATGTAAAGAATAACATGTAAGACATGATGAATACTAGTTTGAAGCGTTGGGCCAAATTATGTTTGTGGCACAATATTCACGTCCAACATAAATTGCTTTAAATAATATTGACGTAAAATCACTTACCGTATTGTATCAGTTACTCCCAATATATCTTGTAAATGGGACTTTCCCCTCGATTCTGGGGGTGAAAATTTAGTGTCTGTTGAAAATGTTGGAGGGGAGGAAGAAGACGCCTGAAAAAAAGAGCAATACTTCGTTAATTCTGATTGAATTACTGCTTTAATGAACTCTGGTAAAAGATAGAAATTTTAACCTTTTTAGAACAAAATTTTACTTCAATTTACTTTACATTCAGGGAGTAATTTTTCTGTTTTTGAGAGGGAGTTTTACTTTGTATTTTTGTCTCGTATTACTAATATTCTTCACTCATTTAGTATTACTGTAATATATTATGCACAAATTATAAAATCGTTGCTCAGACAGACAGAAAACAACTGTTTATTTAGAGTAGAGTTTCACAAACTTTCAGGTCATCGTTACTCTTTGGACAATTTAAGATTCGATGGGGTTCCCCCAAAATTGCACCGCGTGGTGTGATTGGCAAAATATGTCATGTGAACTGCAAAAGCCAACTTGGCAGTTACTGTAGCTGTAGTTAGAGAAGCTTCTACTGGGGTGAAAATGTGACTTCTTCAAATTATTTACATCAGGTGAAAAAAAAATGGCAGTTATGAAAAGAATATTTTCATACTTTCAATCTAATGTACCCCTCGAAAAGTCTGAATGAACCCCTGATGGTGCATGTACATCAGGGTTCGGCAACCTTTTGTCGCTCGCGGGCAAAAATAATGGTTGCAAGTCATTGACGGGCCTCGCATATTTTTGGAAAGTTGAAAACCGAACGGGTGATACTTTTTATATTGAAAATGGAGCAGTGATACATCTCTCGAATAGAATATAGAATAATTTCCTCATTGCATTGCATTTCTGGCGCCATTGATCCCTCTGCGCTTAGCATGAACTTTTCTACGTTTTGTTGCCATTTTTCTAATTATAATTAAATTATAGGCTCATTAAACGGGTAATTGTGAATTTTATACTTGTTAGATTATAATATAATTTAGTCTACACGCGTCTCACAATGAATTGTGTAACGTAAAAAATATAATCGCCAAAACAGCTGTTTTGTTACTATAATTCAGGGAAGCATCGCGGGCCGGATTATGTTACTCCGCGGGCCGTAGGTTGCCGACCCCTGATGTACAAGCTTGGGAACCTCTAGTTGAAAGCCTTGTTGAGAGTGAGGGAGCGAGCAAAACGTTATACAGACCAACACGATGCTTATGCCTGGGGGTAAGGAGAAGGGATCTCCAGGTGTTAACCCCGCCATGTTAATTAAACAGTTTGACAGTTATAACTTTGCTACTTCAATACCTTCAAATCGATATGAACATGTTCAAATGAATTTTAAATTATTGGCAAGCCCTATTGCGCAATTCCAGAGCAATCCTAGTACCATTTCAATGCTTAGAAGATGGGAACCAGTGCTATACTGTTAATAATTCTATATGAAAGATTGCTTTGAGGAAATCGGAAGCAACAAACAAAAAGAATTGGTGACCTCTAGTGATTAAGAATAAAGTATTGGCTTTCAAACAAAGTTGAACAATGTAACTGCAATGCCACTTCAATACTTAGAGTTGAAACCCAACAAAGCTCGTCTTGGTGAAAAGTGTCAAATCAGTCTATAAACAGTCGCTTAGCTCATCGTTGTGTTGCATCGCATGTTTGGCTATCTTTACCGCCAAACTCCGCAGGGAATTGTCTGCTGAAATCTTGGAACGCTTGCGCTACATTGAGCGAAAGATTGTACATGGTATGAAGTCAATTTAGTTTCTTTTATACGGCGGTTAAACATGCCTTTCTCTCAGGACAAGGGTTTATTAAAAGCACCCACTAACGATATGTGAAGTGTTACAATTTTTGGGAGGATCAGTATCTTTCAGATTCAGCTTTACTTTCCCAATGTATAGGATTGTAAATGGCATGAATTCAATATAGTTTAAGGATGACGTTATATGTTTATTCGTGATCAAGACCATTTTTCGGGACAAGAATTTAAAAGCTGCCGCTGATATGTGAGGGCCTTTTTTTCGGAGGACCATAATAGTTCGGTATCAGCATTGCCTGGCCAATGACTTGGATTCTACACTGTATGAATACAAATTTGAATGACATTGTTTTATATGCTACTTATACACACAATTCAAACAAGGTCCTGAACAATCAGCTACTGATATCTAACATTAATTATGTGAGATGCTACAATTATTGGAATGAACGATAGCTTTCCGGTTCGGAATGTATACCCAATTTATTGAACTCTGGGTGATGGGGAATAAATTTAAGCCTGGGAAGCGTAATCTGCCATCATAGTAAAGTCTGGAGATTTAATCCACCAGGCCAACATATACACAAATCGCTGTTTCAGATGAAAGATAGATGCAGTACAAGCCAAATTCAAACCCATCCAATGTGAAAAAATAAAGTGTTCCTAAAACTGCACAACTATTTTTGGGGGGCTGGGGGCCCTCCTCCCAGCCCCCATAGACAGAAAACTGGCGTTCTGAGTTTTAATAGCAAAATCCCAACTGCCCGATAAATCAGACATACCTATGTCATAATTTAGGTGCAAGTCACACCAATTTAGAATATTTAAATACACTCCATGCGGAAAAAAAAAGTGTTCCATGTACTACCAATCAATTTGGATATAAAATCCAAACTGTGTTACTGTATGAAAGGGTTAAGTAATTAATTACATTAGTATCCGGCACATGAGCTGCGGTATTTGTAACTGCAATGTGTTAGAGGGCAAACAGGGGTCAACATAATGATGAAATAGAGTAGATGTTGCCACACCGCTTATTCTAAGTAAAACAGACAAGTGATATAGTTTTGCCAATGAATGTTTGTTGAAATGAACACTGCACTGCTTGCTTAATTTTATAGAGTCTTTCGCATAGTTTACCCATGCGTATGTATACTCAATATGTATGTATACAAGTAACATACAAGTCTTACATTTTTCCTGTTCTTATATTTGCTTACTTTCTGATTATAAATTGTGTTAAAAGTATTATCCGATTCTGAATCGCGGTCAATCTATTGTGTGCTTGTATTTTGGAGGGGGTACGCTTACTTGTACGTTTTTAAACTTTATTTCAAGTTATGCTCGCCTTCAAGGTATTTATATGTATTACATTTTGTGTTGTTTCATGTCAGAGAACCGAAATATAATGATTGAGTGATTGAATAAGCACATACAGTGTAAAAGGCCCTGCTTGCAATGACACCTAATAATAACGCTAAGCACACTACAATGAAAATGGTTGCTACCACGCTTTTTCATAGTAATAATTACACAACCGGGAATGAACAAACGATTTTACATTTGGGAACCCTCGAATACAGGTACCAAGTTCATGCCCTTATTATATTTAAGCGTGGATTTCTAATTAAAATAATTCCAACATATCTAGATATTTGTGAGCGGTTGGTTGCTAGTGGCTTATAAATAGCTTCTTAATATGTACATGCACATCTGGTCATGAACCTTACTTTGACACAATTTTGCACATGATTTTCATATTTATGCCAGGAAGAGGAAAGTCGTTAAGGCAAATCTCTCAAAATTATGACCACAATGACAAAACAGAAAAATACTTGTTTTTGAGACATGGACTTGATGATAAAGTAATCTGTAACTGAACAGCGGCTATCCTATTTTTTATTTAAGCTGTCGTATCAGTTATCAGCTTTCTTCTCTTCCCTGATGGATATCTTATCCTAATTGGACAAAACCCCGAATTGAAAAAAAACTTAAAAAGTTATAAAATACTTACCAGTGAGACAGCTGACATCGGTTCAGGTATTACAGTGGATTGTTTAGATGTTGGGGGGGAGGTTCGTAAATTTCCTATGACACCATCCAGTGACGGAGATGAACGAGTGTTCCCAAATAGGAATGATTCAGTTGTGTTTGGAAACACTGACTGACAATCTAATGATTCTGATGTCACTAGATCGGGTAAATCATCCCCGGCGTCTGGAAACGAGTCTTTGTCGATTATTTTCATCGCCTCGATCATGTCGTCGTCAAACAAATCGAGATTTTGTTCTGGCGTCTCATTGTTTGTATGTTCGTCTGTTGTTGGCGTTAAACCACTTGAACTAAGTTCGTCAGAAACTGAGTTTGTGGAAGGGGTGCGTCGATTTTGATGTATTTCTTCAATTTTCGGTCGCCGAACTGCAAAATTGTTTTTTTCTGATTGTTTTGAATTGTTGTTATTAGTGCAAAAGTTTTCCGTCGAGTTTTGACCTTCGAACTCGAAGATTTGTTGATTTTTTTGCTTCGTGTCAGGGTTACAGCGTTTATTTTTTGGGGAGGATTTTTTGCGATTGACAGGGGGTAGAATTCCTGGAGAGGAGATCGGTGATATTACGTGAGACGGCACTGACGGTGTCAGAGGTTTAGGCATCATTGAACCAATGCAGTTTGAAGATGCTGGAAAAATAAAATGAATAATGAATGTCACTTGTAAATATTGTTTAACATGTCCTGGCTGCTACTGACATGGTACTCCCGTAGTGTGTGTACCACCAGGTTAGGGTTAGGCCATAATTTTATTCTCATTTTCCTTATTTTGGTTTTATTACGAGTTCGTGGACCATCTGTGTTAGCCAAGTGAATATACATCCTTCCAATAAGTTTCAGTTCGTTTACACAATTTTATATAAAGTAGGCGAACAAAAATAGTTACCTCCATATTGTTACACACACTTCTGGAGCGCCACAGACATAGTCAGGCTGAGTTTTATCAGAATAAACAGTTCACTTTGCACCGGCACAATTATTAAATTATATAAGATTTTTAAACTTCTATGACAGGGTTGTGCAACATTTCTTGTCGGCGGGCCCTATAACCAACTTCTGACATCTAGCCGGGCCATTCAACAAATTCAATATCTTTCGGGTACGCAATGAATTGAACATTTCTCACCACAAAAAGGCTATAGATAGCTTAGTCTTACAGTAATAAAGGCAAAAAGACGAAAGACTTAAATTTATGGATTGTAACCCCTGTGTGCGCTTTTTTAAACATAAACTTTCAGGTTAGAATTTGATTCTTAGTGGGAAAATATCTGAGTGTTGACAAGGGCCACACTTATTGTCTTGGCGGGCCGGGTTGTGGCCCGCGGCCGCCTGTTGCACACCCCTGTTCTATGATAACATATGAGTGCAAAATGGGTGCTCTGCTTCAATACACATAAACAATTCATAACAGTTCAAATTATTAACACCAGAAAATTAGACTATTAGACTGCCTGGTTAGACGTCCAATAGTACAAGGAGTCATAAATCTTATTTATCCTTACACTGTCCCCTCAGTACATTAAATTTATTAAACTCTCAGAATAATACAAATCCGCACTGTCAATAGGTACAGGTCTGTGTTTAATCATCATAGAGTTTATTAACGCAGGCTTTATTGATAATAATATTGTCAATGCCAAATTGTGTTTGAATATACAGAAAGTGGCTTATATATCGTGAAAATACATAAGACCGTCAGATACATAGCTAAATTTGAAAAAAACTGAAATTTCAAACACCTGCCCCCTGCTAATTTCAAGTTGTGAAACCCAACTATATGTCCTAACTTAAATGTAATTGAATAGTATTTGAATAACCAGACAGAAAAGTATATACCAGTGCCGTTATATTGCTAATGGCAAAATATCTACCCTAGCCAAAATTTGGAATCCCAATCTACCCCTTCAATCCCTAACATGACCAAGCTAGGGACCAAAATCACTAAACTATAAATCTATTTTGCGAAGAAAGAATGAAAATATGTTCTTAAAATTGGTGTTTGCGAGACAAATAATTATAGCAAACTTACTTATCATGTTTTTATCTTCATTATTATTCTTCAATGATATCCGGGGTGAATCCGATCTGGACTTCATATTTAAACCTGTGGAAATTGAACAAACAAAATGCTTTTTAAATAAGTTATAATATGCATTATTAAATCGCATAAAGGTTAGGTTAGACCCCCAAGGTTGTCAACCCATGTCACAGGGTGACTCCAACCATTTGGAACATATTCCATAGAGAACATAACTTTTGTGTAAAGTGTCTTTCTTTACTAAAACTTTTAGGTACAATCGTACACAAACAGAAATTCATGTGTTAAATGAATTTTATTCATTCTCGTAGAAGTAACTGAAAAATTCATGGGTTGTGTTTTTTTGGTTACTGTGTATAATAAATAGGGTAACAAGTCCCAGCTCCAAAGACTAAACATAATAGCCCCCAATATATATAAGAAGTTGTTCGACTGAGTTGCAATACACTCGTAATACTCTGGTTCATTGGTTCTCAAACTGGGGTCCGCTGTCCCTTAGGGGTCCGCAAATTTAGGGGGACCGCGAGACAACTTTAACCTCGGCACAGAAGCACTTTGATTTGAAGTAAAATTTTGATGTCATGCTTTTACAGTGTTTCTCCAAAGCACGACACGCTCTATCACAGACATTGTTACGTAACTAACATAGGTTAACGTGGTAAGTACGTAAATCAGAACGTAATGGTTATGGAAGGCGTGTGAATCTGATTGTTAATTTTGTCAGGGTTATTTAAAAATACCCACCCGCAATAAAAAAAAATTTAGATATGACGATTCATATGTGAGATTTGGTTTTGCTGTGATAGTTCTGGAGGAAAAGAAAAACCACAGTGACACCGTACTATCCCGATGTCGCTAAGATGGCACTAAAATGCTCATTCCATTTGCAACAACTTACGAATGTGAGGCAGCATTTGCTTTCATTTTCTTTAATGGACCGCGAGTCATCAGAAAAATTGAAAAGGGACCGTTATGCATAATTTTTCAAAAAGTTTGAGAACCACTGCTCTGGTTCAAGTTCCAAGCCCTCCTAACCCAGGGAGTAATAAATTGAGTAAACAAGGTCAAACTGGAAAGATTCTGAACCTTCCGGATAAAAGAAGCTTCTTGCATGTCACAAGGTATCAGCGAATGCTTGTATAAGGCCTTGGAACTCTCGTAGTGTGTGTGCCAGGTTAAGGTTAGGTCATAATTTTATTCCAATTTCTCTTATTTTAGTACTATTACGAGTTCGGTGAATGTCTGTGGTATCTGAGTGAATATCCCCCTGCTCGTAGGTTTCAGTCCCTTTACACCAGTGGTTCCCAAACTTTTTAAAGTTGGGACCGACTATTTATTACCACAGCTCATGGCGACCCATTTAACTTTGATAAATTAATAAAACATTGACGGAGGAAACAAATTTATTTTCTCAAACTAAATTTTCAGTTAAGCTAGTGAGAGGATGAGCTTGTTTCTTGCTACTTTCCAAAACAGACTTGACATTTATTTTGATTTCAGATAGTTTTAACCGTGAAGAATTCGAAAGTTGCAGTTTATTTCGAAATTGGCTTTTAATCGAAGCTTTTACATCTTTTCACGACCCACCAAGATTCCTTTTGCGACCCACCAGTGGGTCGCGACCCATAGTTTGGGAACCGCTGCTTCACACAATTTGATGTAAAGTAGACGAACAAAATTAGTTACCTCCATATAGGTGTACACACTACTGGAGCGACAGGCCTTGTTCAGAGTGAAAAGCATGAATAAGCGTCACATAAAAACACTTACCTTCTTTCGTACCATCTTGAACTGGTGATCCTCCACTAGTAGCAGGAGAGAGTATGTTCGGTGATGCAGAGGTAGCACCATTCCCATAAACAGAATCTTTTAATCTGAAAGAGTTACAGTATAATATTATTAGAAATGTTTACTCAATTCAGCAGTTACCTGAACTGTGTTGAAATTAAGTTGTTGAAATTAATGCACAACTCGCCATATTCACCATTGACATTAAACCATGTTATGATCATTTGTGTACGAAAAATCAAACTTTCCGTTAATATAATATGGTACTCCCAAAGTATGTGAACCAAGATGGCAGACACCTAAACGTAGTATGTGTACCAGGTTAGGGTTAGGCCATAATTCGAATCAAATTTTCCTTATTTTAGTTCTATTACGAGTTCGGAGACTAGCCAAGTGACTCCCGTAGTATTTGTACCTGAAATTATGGCCTAACCATAACCTGGTACACATACTACATCCCGGTGTCCATCATCACCAGTTCACATACTCCAGGAGTATCCATAATATAATATCAATAAATCCATTTTTTTTTAAAATGATATTAAAAGGTTTGTCATCAAATTTTTTTTTTTTTAGATTTCGAAACTGTGGTTTAAAATAAAATCTCTCTCAATCTGGAGTCCTGAGCCCGAGTCTGGGTCAAAATTTTTGTAAAACTAGAATTTAGGTTTCAGTGCAAATTTTTCCAGATACGGCAGACATTGCAATACTTACCCTTTCTTTATTTCAGTAACACTTGACGTTTGTTTCCGTGGTAGCATGTCACGCATCTCGAGCACGGTGTCGCCGATAGCAACACCGCTGTCAATGATTGCAGATAAACATGAAGTTTTGCGACTAAATGAAGAGAAAATGAATCTTAATAAAAAGAAGGCCACTGGTTTTCTTCAGTTACTATACATATCACAGTTACTTCCTAGGTGTTACATAAATATTCTAAGGCAACAGGTAAGTAGTCACCAATATGGAATGCTGGACCCGCAAAACCACCCCCCTGGCTATGCCACAGGGGAGGGTTAGGCCATAATTTTATTCCAATTTTCCTTATTATAGTTCTAGTTCTATTACGAGTTCAGGGACTAGTCAAGTGACTCCCGTGGTATAGGTACCTGAAATTATGGTCTAACCCTAACCAGATACACATACTACGTTCCGGTGTCCGCCATCTTGTTGCACATACTACAGGAGTACCAAAAATCCTTCAACATTCCAAATAAAATTCCACAATACTGTTTACATTAGAAATGAATGAAAAACGCTTACCTGAGTGAGCAAAGATGATTTACAGTAACTTTATTTCATTATATTATTTACAAAGAATAGCACCTGTAAAAATGCACAGTAAATGAATCAAATTATAAGTTATGGATGAATATACATCATAGAGGAATTGATTCTGACAATTTTAGAAATTCAATTTAAATTATCTGGTCTAAGATTCAACTTAAATTATCCGGTCTAAGCAAAGCGCCAATATGAATAGGTACACATTTCCTTTTGTTACATCCTGGCATTTCAGTGCTCGTCCGTAAATAACTCCATTTTAACTCTACTTACTTGATAATTTCAAAAAATCTATTAAAAATATTCGACCCTAAATCCCTGATCAAGTCGAGTATAAAAGTATAAATTTTTAAAATACAACTTTTTCTACTGTCATGCTTTTCTAGCAAGAAATCGTATTTATATAATTTTGCAAATAAATGCTTCGAAAAGGAATGAACAATGTTTATGTCAACTATTCCACAATACCAATTTCAATTTTACAATCATTCTTCTATTGAAAATCATCCAACTAAAAGTATTCTCTATTTGAAAATTTCAATGCTGGTCATCCCTGGTGACAAGCTTCAGGCAGATTGCTAATATTTATTGTGTGTGTGTGGGCCAAGGTGATCTGGCAGCCCCTTCATAAAACACTTAGCAATAATATTAGGAACTATATCTGATTCTATCCCCAAATCACTGTTTCTGTTAAGCTATTTTAAAATGATAACTATTGACTGAAAACAACTTTTCCATTGCCATATTTCCTCGCTAAAAAACTCTTTTACGTAATTTTGAATAATTTTCATGAGAGGTCTATTTTTGTTACCAAATACTGAGAATAGTAAATGAACTGACTCATTTTGTTCATAACAGTGACTAAGTTGGACGAAACTCAATGATCTGAAAGTTAATTATTCATCAAAGTTTTCGAGATCATATCGACCGCTAATTACAGAGCTGGCCATGAGCGATTGCAACCTTTGTGGCTCACTTCCATAGGCACCACGTTAATCCTGTATCCAAAATTTATTCTGTATAAGCAAAACTTATAAAGTAACGTTAAAAAGTGATAAAATCTGAAGACAATTTATTCTCTATTCCTAAATAGAAGTTATTAGTGTTATGTCTATTCAGAATCGGCCATGCGCATTTCATTTTGCATGGGATAGCACAATAGTCAAGGTTGTCCCTGGTTAATCCTCATCTACACACACTATATTGAGGTCCCCACATGTCAGTGAAACTTCTACGCTAAAAGTTTAATCTTGAGAAATGTTTCAAGTCACCATTGATTATTGATATATACAAGGGGTGTGCCCATGGACACAACTTGGACCGACAAGCTATTTAGTGTGGTGTGGTCGAGATTTTTTTCTATCAAACATAAAATCTGAATCCGACAGTTTATGTTTGAAAAAATCATGCATAGCCATTTTTCATAGCTTGAAATGCTTTTTGGACCATCGAGACCCTCGACCCTCGTTTTTTTTGGCCTCTGAACACGCTAGCTGATAGAGTCTAACTTGACAATTGGAAATTTCAGAAAATTTCTGGCTATGCCCCTCAAGATATATACCAGGGTGGTCCAAACCCAGGCCCGTGGGCCACATGTGGCCCGCTGCTTTATTATCTGTGGCCGAGTCACATTTGGAGAGTGATCAAAAAATCGCATTTCTGGTTGTTTCGTAATAAAATTAATCAGAAAAATCTTTTGACATATTGTTACATCAATAATGTCACTGAATTGACTAGTGTTATGGCTAGCTGAGGCAACTAGCAAAGTTGAATGATGTGCTTGGCAGTCTAAATTATTATCTGGTTTTCTATCTTTCCGGTCGGGAATATATGTTAACAATATAGGCATCATAGAAAACTAAAAAGCGAATGCGGATTCTATTAGCCTGGGAAGGCTATGTCTGATAACTATGTGTTTGCACAATAAAAGTGTTTGTTTTGTATTGCACTGTTTACCTATTCTTGGCACTATTGTGGCCCGCGAACAATACAAAAGTAATTTTGTGGCCCGCGAAGCCAACAACTTCGGACCACCCTGATATATACATTATTAAAATTATCCTAGGCTGACCTAACCAAATCAGAAAAAAAAAATTAGAAAAAAATAGAATTACTAAGGCAATAATGACCTGAGCGAAAATAAGCAAAATAATACAACGGATCAAAAAATTAGTTACTTTAACTAACCTGTACTAAAATATACAGAATCAAAATAAACGAATCATAATTTTATGGCAAGAACAGAATCATACTTCAGAATGGAAAAACACTCAACTGTTATAAACAAACTAATTCTAGAAAATATAGAAGTAAATAGAACTAGAATAGCAACAGAATAGTAATAAAATGTAACAGTATGTTACATATCGGTACATCATTATAATTCATTCTAATATAACCTAAAATGAGAATGGAAAAACACTCAACTGTTATAAACAAACTAATTCTAGAAAATATAGAAGTAAATAGAACTAGAATAGCAACAGAATAGTAATAAAATGTAACAGTATGTTACATATCGGTACATCATTATATTCATTCTAATATAACCTAAAATGATCAGAATCAGAAAAAACAGGACAGCGAATTAGTTGTGGAGCAATATGAGAATTCTACTTAGTTCAGAATGGAAAAACACCAGAGCGTCACAAACAAACTAATTCTAGAAACTATGAAACTAAATACTTTATTATTCCACCATCTGGATTCAAATTTTCCTGATTGTTCATGAGCAAAACAACAGGATATAAAATGCATAATCTACTTCCTGAATTTCAATAGGTGAAGTGATTAATGCAAGCATGAGTCTGTATGAAGCTAAATATTAGTTTAGATGAACTAATTAGATTCATGAAATATAAGTATTTTGATTATGATTTCTCAAAAAAAAATGAATACACAACTGGATGGAATAATCGAGAAAACAGGCGAAACCTTTAAGAAAGTTCAAAACTTGTAGAAATACGTGTGTCAGTTACCCATCTTACACACACAAACATGTATAAAGAAGGATGAAAAACATGAGTGCGTATCATTTGAGCGTTCAGCTGAGAGATTCCCGCAAGACGCCACGACAATGCTAGGCACAAAACTAATTTTACAAAAAAAACTCAGCATTCTTCCCAATTTCATTACTTGACAAGTGTCTTCCCTTTGTTGAGCATGAATTGTTTGAACCGACTGAGCTTTGGAATCTACCAATCAAAATAAAACCAGAATAAACCAATGAGATGATAATAAGAGAGTTATGAGTGCTAAAAGTTCCCGTTTCCGTAAGGGGGCCACAAGCCATAAAAAGGAAACCAATGCTTTAGACTTAACTGTGTTGGCAATTGGCATCGCGTTATAAACATCTTGCGATTCCAATCCTACGCTAACACCTTGGCTCAGTTGAAAACGTTCATCCGGCCCTCTTGTGTCTGCTGTAAAAAGTTTTTTTCTCAACTATTGGATCAATCTATTTCCAAGTTTCTGTATTTACGAACGAAAGTTACTAGAACCTTATCAACTAGAAACTCCATTCCATCCCAAATTCTGCTGGATTTTTTTCTACAATTCAAAGGCACACCACCATATTGGGGACAATTCTTTCAACATTTGGCTCAAATCATGCTAGTCATTTAAGCTGGTGTCCATATATCTGAGCATTTAGTAGACACATAACCTGGTAGTTTATTGGTTAGACTTTACTATGTTAGCTTAGCTGGTGTAGAGACTTGTTCAGTGTGAGATGAGCGCCATATAAAATAAATTTCGTGATATGTAAGTACAGACTCAATGGCACTTGAGAAAAATGAGACAATACTGAGTACAAGCTAAGCCACCAAATGATGATTCACTACGTTATGATATAAAGCCATATCTTGTGGGTCTGGAGAAAGGAAAGGTAAATATCATAGTATAGATTATTCACATCTGAATAGTTAGGTCAGGGTTTCCCAGAATTTCTGCTCATCGATACCCTGTGGACAATTCATTGTATAGGTCCTGCATCCCTAAATCTGCTGTTTTGTCTCACGTGCTGTGATTGGACAAAATAAACCATGTAAGCACCGAGAGTAAACTTGAGAAAGTTATATACCTCTGAGGTTGTATGTACCAAGTTTGGGAACCCCTAGATATTGTTACTATATCTAATGTACACCTTGGAAATGTACTTGTGAATGTATCCCTGTTTAAGGGACCCCTGAGTATCCCTATGCTAAATCTAAAGTACAACTGAAAACGGTACTTATAGGGGTGCATTTACCCAGTTTAAGGGACCCCTGAGTATCCCTATGCTAAATCTAATGAAATAAAATCTTTGCCACCCTAGTGATTCAAGGATCTTGCTACACACTAACACAAATATATTTTGGTAACAATCCCTCATTTAATAGGTGTTATCATCAGGCGAATCATTACAGAAATATATTACTGGTGTGCAAAAAGACTCTCTAATCACTCTCACTACAGAACCTTTGCATTATACACATATGTATCCACCAGTGGTGGGATTCAAATTTTTTGTCAGCCGATTCCATCACAAAAGTCATATTTTTCAGCCGGTTCTGTCATAAAAAGTCATTGACAGTAACTAGTAATGCTAACCGGTTCGCTGATCTCATAAAATTTCGTGAGATGGTTCTATAGAACCGGTTGAATCCCACTACTGGTATCCACCAGCACAAAAGCATAAAAGAATATATAGTTAATGTCTTGCATCCCCAAATAACAGTAAGCATATCTTATTTGGTTACCAATCCATCAATGGAAAGGCAATGGAAAGAGGAAGGATAAGTAGTTGGAGTCTCAAAATACCATTTAATAGCATGATGGTCAAGTAATAAGGTCTTATTCAGATTTGGAGTTAAACAAAACTACTGAACAAAAAACCTTGATTATAAAAACATACATTTGTGGATGTAGCGCAAAATAAATATTAAAATATTTTTACCTAATATTAACTATCAACTTGACTTAACAAGTCTCATTTATATTATCGTATATATATATATATTACTGTGTCCGTATATCCTCGTATATAAGCTGAACTTCTAAAA